ATGCTGCTTGGCCTGCTGTGTTCATCCAGCCCTGCACCTTGTTGTCTTAGAGGGAATCAGACAGGGAGTCTTGAGAGAATGAGTGCAAGGTTAAGTAGTAATCTTCAAAAACCTTAAAGACCAAGTTAGTTTGCTATTATAGAGTAGTTTATTTTTCAAGGAAGGTTTTTCAAAGCAAGTACTGGGTGATAGGTAAAGGTTTGCAATGTTGGCAAACGCAGAACTGGGAAAGGGACGTGAGACAATTAGGAGTGGGATTTGAACACACTCCGCATCAGTCTGCTGGATTTACAGGAAAATCTAATCTTTAAAAGGTGGGAAAGAAACTGCAGAGGGTTGAGTAAATGTAGCTTTTAGGGTTTTGGAAATAAAGAAGATCACAAGCACCTCATATTCTCAAAGTGAGCAAAGATGGACTAGCAGTGCGAGTAACACAGTATAAATGTAGTTTTCCTTTTTTGCTGCTACTTTTAAATTGTTCTGAGGCATACAAGGTGAAAGACTTTGACAAAACGTGTCAATTTTTTCATAAGCGTATTATGCAAAGAGAGGTGGAGCGTCAACAGATTGGACAGTATCTAATAAACATAAAAGGATGAATAAAAGATTAGAAAGTAGGAAAAACATTGAGTAGGAGAGAAAGCTAGCTAGAAATTTAAAAATGGGTAGTAAGGGTTTCTATTTATGTTTTAAAGAGCAAAGAAGTAATAAACTGAGCATTTGTCCTCTAGAAAGTTATGGGAAAATGAATAATGGAAAATGAGCATTTGGCAGATGAAATAAATGGATATTTTACATAGTCTTAACTATTGAGGATGTAAGTAGCATCACAGAAATTGCAGGAATTCAAGAAATGGAGGGGAGGGAAGAAATCAGGAAAATTACAATCACAAGTTAAATTGAGAAAACTTTGAGCTGCAGGCTGACAAGTCATTGGGTCCTGATGTACTTCATGGCAGGTCTTTAAAAAAGTGGCAAGTGAGATACTTGAATCATTGGTTTTAATGTTCCAAAATTTCCCAGATTCGGCGAAGGTTGCATTAGATTGGACATGTAACGACTTCCCTCAAAAAGGGAGGGAAACAGAAAGTCGTAAACTACAGAACAGTTAGCTTAACATCTGTCATATGTTAGAGCTATTATTGAAGATGTTATGTTACGGGCTAGAAAAATGTAAGGCAT